GAGTGAGTTAGTGTATGAGTGAGTGTGTGAGTGAGTGTACGGGTGAGTGTGTGAGTGAGTGTACGGGTGAGTGTGTGGGTGAGTGTACGGGTGAGTGTATGGGTGAGTGAGTGAGTGTACGGGTGAGTGTATGGGTGAGTGTACGGGTGAGTGTACGGGTGAGTGTACGGGTGAGTGTACGGGTGAGTGTGTGGGTGAGTGTGTGAGTGAGTGAGTGTGTGGGTGAGTGTACGGGTGAGTGAGTGTGTGGGTGAGTGAGTGTACGGGTGAGTGTACGGGTGAGTGTACGGGTGAGTGTGTGGGTGAGTGTGTGGGTGAGTGTACGGGTGAGTGTACGGGTGAGTGTGTGGGTGAGTGAGTGTGTGGGTGAGTGAGTGTGTGGGTGAGTGAGTGTACGGGTGAGTGTACGGGTGAGTGTACGGGTGAGTGTGTGGGTGAGTGTGTGGGTGAGTGTACGGGTGAGTGTACGGGTGAGTGTGTGGGTGAGTGAGTGTGTGGGTGAGTGAGTGTGTGGGTGAGTGTGTGGGTGAGTGTGTGGGTGAGTGTGTGGGTGAGTGTACGGGTGAGTGTACGGGTGAGTGTACGGGTGAGTGTGTGGGTGAGTGAGTGTACGGGTGAGTGTACGGGTGAGTGTACGGGTGAGTGTGTGGGTGAGTGTGTGGGTGAGTGAGTGGGTGAGTGTACGGGTGAGTGTGTGAGTGAGTGAGTGTGTGGGTGAGTGTACGGGTGAGTGTATGGGTGAGTGAGTGTACGGGTGAGTGTACGGGTGAGTGAGTGTACGGGTGAGTGTGCGGGTGAGTGTGTGGGTGAGTGTACGGGTGAGTGTACGGGTGAGTGTACGGGTGAGTGAGTGTACGGGTGAGTGTATGGGTGAGTGTGTGGGTGAGTGTGTGGGTGAGTGTGTGGGTGAGTGTGTGGGTGAGTGTACGGGTGAGTGTACTGGTGAGTGTATGGGTGAGTGTATGGGTGAGTGTGTGGGTGAGTGAGTGTATGAGTGAGTGTGTGGGTGAGTGTACGGGTGAGTGTACGGGTGAGTGTGTGAGTGAGTGTGTGAGTGAGTGTGTGAGTGAGTTAGTGTATGAGTGAGTGTGTGAGTGAGTTAGTGTATGAGTGAGTGTGTGAGTGAGTGTACGGGTGAGTGTGTGAGTGAGTGTACGGGTGAGTGTGTGGGTGAGTGTACGGGTGAGTGTATGGGTGAGTGAGTGAGTGTACAGGTGAGTGTATGGGTGAGTGTACGGGTGAGTGTACGGGTGAGTGTACGGGTGAGTGTGTGGGTGAGTGTGTGAGTGAGTGAGTGTGTGGGTGAGTGTACGGGTGAGTGAGTGTGTGGGTGAGTGAGTGTACGGGTGAGTGTACGGGTGAGTGTACGGGTGAGTGTGTGGGTGAGTGTGTGGGTGAGTGTACGGGTGAGTGTACGGGTGAGTGTGTGGGTGAGTGAGTGTGTGGGTGAGTGAGTGTGTGGGTGAGTGTGTGGGTGAGTGTACGGGTGAGTGTACGGGTGAGTGTGTGGGTGAGTGTGTGGGTGAGTGTACGGGTGAGTGTGTGGGTGAGTGTACGGGTGAGTGTGTGAGTGAGTGAGTGTACGGGTGAGTGTACGGGTGAGTGTGTGGGTGAGTGTGTGGGTGAGTGTGTGAGTGTATGGGTGAGTGAGTGTACGGGTGAGTGTGTGGGTGAGTGTACGGGTGAGTGTACGGGTGAGTGTACGGGTGAGTGTACGGGTGAGTGTACGGGTGAGTGTACGGGTGAGTGAGTGTACGGGTGAGTGTACGGGTGAGTGTACGGGTGAGTGTATGGGTGAGTGAGTGAGTGAGTGTATGAGTGAGTGTGTGAGTGAGTGTATGAGTGTGTGAGTGAGTGTGTGAGTGAGTGTACGGGTGAGTGTACAGGTGAGTGTACGGGTGAGTGAGTGTACGGGTGAGTGTACGGGTGAGTGTGTGAGTGAGTGTGTGGGTGAGTGAGTGTACGGGTGAGTGAGTGTACGGGTGAGTGTACGGGTGAGTGTACGGGTGAGTGTGTGGGTGAGTGAGTGTACGGGTGAGTGTACGGGTGAGTGTACGGGTGAGTGTACGGGTGAGTGTGTGAGTGAGTGAGTGTACGGGTGAGTGTACGGGTGAGTGTACGGGTGAGTGTACGGGTGAGTGTATGGGTGAGTGAGTGTACGGGTGAGTGTACGGGTGAGTGTACGGGTGAGTGTATGGGTGAGTGTACGGGTGAGTGTATGGGTGAGTGTACGGGTGAGTGAGTGAGTGTACGGGTGAGTGAGTGAGTGTATGAGTGAGTGTGTGAGTGAGTGAGTGAGTGTACGGGTGAGTGTACGGGTGAGTGTGTGGGTGAGTGAGTGTACGGGTGAGTGTACGGGTGAGTGTACGGGTGAGTGTACGGGTGAGTGTGTGGGTGAGTGAGTGTACGGGTGAGTGTACGGGTGAGTGTACGGGTGAGTGTGTGGGTGAGTGAGTGGGTGAGTGTGTGGGTGAGTGAGTGTACGGGTGAGTGTGTGAGTGAGTGAGTGTGTGGGTGAGTGTACGGGTGAGTGTATGGGTGAGTGAGTGTACGGGTGAGTGTACGGGTGAGTGTACGGGTGAGTGTACGGGTGAGTGAGTGTACGGGTGAGTGTGCGGGTGAGTGTGTGGGTGAGTCTACGGGTGAGTGTACGGGTGAGTGTACGGGTGAGTGAGTGTACGGGTGAGTGTATGGGTGAGTGTATGGGTGAGTGTACGGGTGAGTGTACGGGTGAGTGTATGGGTGAGTGTACGGGTGAGTGAGTGAGTGTACGGGTGAGTGAGTGAGTGTATGAGTGAGTGTGTGAGTGAGTGAGTGAGTGTACGGGTGAGTGTACGGGTGAGTGTACGGGTGAGTGTACGGGTGAGTGTACGGGTGAGTGTGTGGGTGAGTGAGTGTACGGGTGAGTGTACGGGTGAGTGTGTGGGTGAGTGTGTGGGTGAGTGAGTGGGTGAGTGTACGGGTGAGTGTGTGAGTGAGTGAGTGTGTGGGTGAGTGTACGGGTGAGTGTATGGGTGAGTGAGTGTACGGTTGAGTGTACAGGTGAGTGTACGGGTGAGTGTACGGGTGAGTGTACGGGTGAGTGAGTGTACGGGTGAGTGTGTGGGTGAGTGTACGGGTGAGTGTACGGGTGAGTGTACGGGTGAGTGAGTGTACGGGTGAGTGTATGGGTGAGTGTGTGGGTGAGTGTGTGGGTGAGTGTGTGGGTGAGTGTGTGGGTGAGTGTACGGGTGAGTGTACTGGTGAGTGTATGGGTGAGTGTATGGGTGAGTGTGTGGGTGAGTGAGTGTATGAGTGAGTGTGTGGGTGAGTGTACGGGTGAGTGTACGGGTGAGTGTGTGAGTGAGTGTGTGAGTGAGTGTGTGAGTTAGTGTATGAGTGAGTGTGTGAGTGAGTTAGTGTATGAGTGAGTGTGTGAGTGAGTGTACGGGTGAGTGTGTGAGTGAGTGTACGGGTGAGTGTGTGGGTGAGTGTACGGGTGAGTGTATGGGTGAGTGAGTGAGTGAGTGTACGGGTGAGTGTATGGGTGAGTGTACGGGTGAGTGTACGGGTGAGTGTACGGGTGAGTGTACGGGTGAGTGTGTGGGTGAGTGTGTGAGTGAGTGAGTGTGTGGGTGAGTGTACCGGTGAGTGAGTGTGTGGGTGAGTGAGTGTACGGGTGAGTGTACGGGTGAGTGTACGGGTGAGTGTGTGGGTGAGTGTGTGGGTGAGTGTACGGGTGAGTGTACGGGTGAGTGTGTGGGTGAGTGAGTGTGTGGGTGAGTGAGTGTGTGGGTGAGTGAGTGTACGGGTGAGTGTACGGGTGAGTGTACGGGTGAGTGTGTGGGTGAGTGTGTGGGTGAGTGTACGGGTGAGTGTACGGGTGAGTGTACGGGTGAGTGTGTGGGTGAGTGAGTGTGTGGGTGAGTGAGTGTGTGGGTGAGTGTGTGGGTGAGTGTGTGGGTGAGTGTGTGGGTGAGTGTACGGGTGAGTGTACGGGTGAGTGTACGGGTGAGTGTGTGGGTGAGTGAGTGTACGGGTGAGTGTACGGGTGAGTGTACGGGTGAGTGTGTGGGTGAGTGTGTGGGTGAGTGAGTGGGTGAGTGTACGGGTGAGTGTGTGAGTGAGTGAGTGTGTGAGTGAGTGTACGGGTGAGTGTGTGGGTGAGTGTACGGGTGAGTGTATGGGTGAGTGAGTGAGTGTACAGGTGAGTGTATGGGTGAGTGTACGGGTGAGTGTACGGGTGAGTGTACGGGTGAGTGTGTGGGTGAGTGTGTGAGTGAGTGAGTGTGTGGGTGAGTGTACGGGTGAGTGAGTGTGTGGGTGAGTGAGTGTACGGGTGAGTATACGGGTGAGTGTACGGGTGAGTGTGTGGGTGAGTGTGTGGGTGAGTGTACGGGTGAGTGTACGGGTGAGTGTGTGGGTGAGTGAGTGTGTGGGTGAGTGAGTGTGTGGGTGAGTGAGTGTACGGGTGAGTGTACGGGTGAGTGTACGGGTGAGTGTGTGGGTGAGTGTGTGGGTGAGTGTACGGGTGAGTGTACGGGTGAGTGTGTGGGTGAGTGAGTGTGTGGGTGAGTGAGTGTGTGGGTGAGTGTGTGGGTGAGTGTGTGGGTGAGTGTACGGGTGAGTGTACGGGTGAGTGTGTGGGTGAGTGTACGGGTGAGTGTGTGGGTGAGTGTACGGGTGAGTGTGTGAGTGAGTGTACGGGTGAGTGTACGGGTGAGTGTGTGGGTGAGTGTGTGGGTGAGTGTGTGAGTGTATGGGTGAGTGAGTGTACGGGTGAGTGTGTGGGTGAGTGTACGGGTGAGTGTACGGGTGAGTGTGTGGGTGAGTGAGTGTGTGGGTGAGTGGGTGAGTGTACGGGTGAGTGTGTGGGTGAATGTGTGGGTGAGTGAGTGTACGGGTGAATGTACGGGTGAGTGTGTGGGTGAGTGAGTGTGTGGGTGAGTGTGTGGGTGAGTGTGTGGGTGAGTGTGTGGGTGAGTGTACGGGTGAGTGTGTGGGTGAGTGTGTGAGTCCACCTGCTCGTTGGTTGTGCGTCCGCGTGCTACCAGCACCACGTGGAACCCGGTGAGGCCGGCCACGGGGAAGAAGAACAACCCGGCCACCACCATCACCGCCAGCCTGCGCCGTCGTCAAGGGGGGTAACCACGGCAACCACGGCATCCACGGCAACCACGGCATCCACGGCATCCACGGCAACCACGGTAACCAGGGGCAACGGTCAGTCATCTCAGCCACCTGGGCCGATCACGTTAACTCCTCCTGCACCTAGCCTGGCACGGCGGCCAGCCCACGGCGGTGACATCTGTCACGTGACCTGCTCCTCCTGCACCTAGCCTGGCACAGCAGTACAACCTCATGGCATCTGCAGGGTCTGTCACGTGACCTCCTCCTCCTGCACCTAGCCTGGCACAGCAGTACAACCTCATGGCACCTGCAGGGTCTGTCACGTGACCTCCTCCTCCTGCACCTAGCCTGGCACGGCAGTACAACCTCATGGCACCTGTCCCCGTGACCACCACCACCACCACCACCCCCACCACCACCACCACCACCTCCTACTGCTGCCACTGCACATGCCACTGCACATGCACCTAGCCTGGCACGGCAGTACAACCCCATGGCACCTGTCCCCGTGACCACAACCACCACCAGCACCACCACCACCACTACCACCAACCTCCTCCTACCGCCGCCGCCACCGCACGTACCCGCTGCACATGCACCTAGCCTGGCACGGCAGTACAACCCCATGACACCTGTCCCCGTGACCACCACCACCACCAGCACCACCACCACCCCCACCACCACCACTACCACCAACCTCCTCCTCCTACCGCCGCCGCCGCCGCACGTACCCGCTGCACATGCACCTAGCCTGGCACGGCAGTACAACCCCATGGCACCTGTCCCCGTGACCACCACCACCACCAGCACCACCACCACCACCACTACCACCAACCTCCTCCTCCTACCGCCGCCGCCGCCGCACGTACCCGCTGCACATGCACCTAGCCTGGCACGGCAGTACAACCCCATGGCACCTGTCCCCGTGACCACCACCACCACCACCACCAGCACCTCCTACCACCGCCGCCGCACGTACCCGCTGCACATGCACCTAGCCTGGCACCGGGTGGGGTGGGGATACGTGACGGCGGTGTGCGGTGTGGTGAGCGCGTGGGGGGCGTGGTGCAGCACGAAGACGAGCCCGCAGGAGAACACCCCCAGCATGTGGACGCTGAGCGAGAGCAGGAACAGGAAGAAGTAGCGGTAGTTTCGGCGGCCAATGCAGTTGTTGACCCACGGGCAATGGTGGTCAAAGTCCTGGCGGGGAGAGGGGAGAGAGGAGAGGGGAGGGGAGGGAGATATGTTGAAGGGAGGGAGGGAGATACGTTGAAGGAGCGAGAGCAGGAACAGGAAGAAGTAGCGGTAGTTTCGGCGGCCAATGCAGTTGTTGACCCACGGGCAATGGTGGTCAAAGTCCTGGTGGGGAGAGGGGAGAGGGGAGAGGGGAGGGGAGGGAGATATGTTGAAGGGGGGAGGGAGATACGTTGAAGGGGGCGAGGGAGATACGTTGAAGGGGAGGGAGATATGTTGAAGGAGCGAGAGCAGGAACAGGAAGAAGTAGCGGTAGTTTCGGCGGCCAATGCAGTTGTTGACCCACGGGCAATGGTGGTCAAAGTCCTGGCGGAGATACGGGGAGAGGGGAGGGGAAGGGAGAGAGATATGTTGAAGGGAGGGAGGGAGATACGTTGAAGGGGAGGGAGATACGTTGAAGGGGAGGGAGATACGTTGAAGGAGCGAGAGCAGGAACAGGAAGAAGTAGCGGTAGTTTCGGCGGCCAATGCAGTTGTTGACCCAGGGGCAATGGTGGTCAAAGTCCTGGCGGAGATACGGGAGTGGGGAGGGAGAGAGATACGTTGAAGGGGGGAGGGAGATACGTTGAAGGGGGGAGGGGAGGGAGGGAGATAAGTTGAAGGGGGGGAGGGAGATACGTTGAAGGGGGGGAGGGAGATACGTTGAAAGGGGAGAGAGATATGTTGAAAGGGGAGAGAGATACGTTGAAGGGGGAGAGGGAGATACGTTGAAGGGGGAGGGAGATACGTTGAAGGGGAAGGGGGGAGATATGTTGAAGGGAGAGAGATACGTTGAAAGGGGGGAGAGATACGTTGAAGGGGAGGGGGATATACGTTGAAGGGGGAGGGAGATACGTTGAAGGAAGGGGGAAGGAGATACGTTGAAGGAAGGGGGAGGGACATATGTTGAAGGGGGAGGGAGATACGTTGAAGGGGGGAGGGGAGGGAGGGAGATAAGTTGAAGGGGGAGGGGAGGGAGGGAGATACGTTGAAGGGGAGAGAGATACGTTGAAGGGGGAGGGAGATATGTTGAAGGGGGGAGGGGAGGGAGATACATTGAAGGGGGAGGAGATACGTTGAAGGGGGAGGGAGATATGTTGAAGGGGGGAGGGGAGGGAGATATGTTGAAGGGGGAGAGAGATACGTTGAAGGGGGGAGGGAGATACGTTGAAGGGGGGAGGGAGATACGTTGAAGGGGAAGGGGAGGGAGATATGTTGAAGGAGCGAGAGCAGGAACAGGAAGAAGTAGCGGTAGTTTCGGCGGCCAATGCAGTTGTTGACCCATGGGCAATGGTGGTCAAAGTCCTGGTGGGGAGAGGGGAGAGGGGAGGGGATGGAGATACGTTGAAGGGGGAGAGAGATACGTTGAAGGGGAGAAGGGAGGGAGGGAGATAAGTTGAAGAGGAGGGGGGAGATACGTTGAAAGGGGAGAGAGATACGTTGAAGGGGAGAGAGATACGTTGAAAGGGGGGAGAGAGATACGTTGAAGGGGGGGGAGGGAGATACGTTGAAGGGGGGAGGGAGATACGTTGAAGGGGGAGAGAGATACGTTGCAGTGGGAGGGAGGGAGATACGTTGAAGGGGAGGGAGATACGTTGAAGGGGGGAGGGAGATATGTTGAAGGGGAGGGGGAGATACGTTGAAGGGGGAGGGAGATACGTTGAAGGGGGAGGGAGATACGTTGAAGGGGGGAGATACGTTGAAGGGGGGAGATACGTTGAAGGGGGGAGATACGTTGAAGGGGGAGGGAGATACGTTGAAGGGGGAGAGAGATACGTTGAAGGGGGAGGGAGATACGTTGAAGGGGAGAGGGAGATACGTTGAAGGGGAAGGGGGAGAGAGATATGTTGAAGGAGCGAGAGCAGGAACAGGAAGAAGTAGCGGTAGTTTCGGCGGCCAATGCAGTTGTTGACCCAGGGGCAATGGTGGGCAAAGTCCTGGCGGAGATACGGGGAGAGGGGAGGGGAGGGAGATACGTTGAAGGGGGGAGAGGGAGATACGTTGAAGGGGGGGAGATATGTTGAAGGGGGGAGAGAGATACGTTGAAGGGAGCGAGATACGTTGAAGGAGGGAGGGAGATATGTTGAAGGGGGGAGAGAGATACGTTGAAGGGGGAGAGGGAGATACGTTGAAGTGGGGGAGGGAGATACGTTGAAGGAAGGGGGAGAGAGATACGTTGAAGGGGAAGGGGAGGGAGATACGTTGAAGGAGCGAGAGCAGGAACAGGAAGAAGTAGCGGTAGTTTCGGCGGCCAATGCAGTTGTTGACCCACGGGCAATGGTGGTCAAAGTCCTGGCGGAGATACGGGGAGAGGGGAGGGGAGGGAGATACGTTGAAGGGGGAGGGAGATACGTTGAAGGGGGGAGGGGAGGGAGATAAGTTGAAGGGGGGGAGGGAGATACGTTGAAAGGGGAGAGAGATCCGTTGAAAGGGGAGAGGGATACGTTGAAAGGGGAGAGAGATACATTGAAGGGGGGGAGGGAGATACATTGAAGGGGGGAGAGAGATACGTTGAAAGGGGAGAGATACGTTGAAGGGGGAGGGAGATATGTTGAAGGGGGAGATACGTTGAAGGGGGAGGGAGATACGTTGAAGGGGGGAGGGAGATACGTTGAAGGGGAGGGGGAGATACGTTGAAGGGGGGGAGAGAGATACGTTGAAGGAGCGAGAGCAGGAACAGGAAGAAGTAGCGGTAGTTTCGGCGGCCAATGCAGTTGTTGACCCATGGGCAATGGTGGTCAAAGTCCTGGCGGGGAGAGGGGGAGAGGGGAGGGGAGGGAGATACGTTGAAGGGGGAGGGAGATATGTTGAAGGGGGGAGGGGAGGGAGGGAGATAAGTTGAAGGGGGGGAGGGAGATACGTTGAAAGGGGAGAGAGATACGTTGAAAGGGGAGAGGGATACGTTGAAAGGGGAGAGAGATACATTGAAGGGGGGGAGGGAGATACATTGAAGGGGGGAGAGAGATACGTTGAAAGGGGAGAGATACGTTGAAGGGGGAGAGAGATACGTTGTAGGGGGGAGGGAGATAGGTTGAAGGGGAGGGGGAGATACGTTGAAGGGGGAGGGAGATACGTTGAAGGGGGGAGGGAGATACGTTGAAGGGGGGGAGGGAGATACGTTGAAGGAAGGGGGAGGGAGATACGTTGAAGGAAGGGGGAGAGAGATACGTTGAAGGGGGAGAGGGAGATACGTTGAAGGGGGAGGGAGATACGTTGAAGGGGGGGGAGAGAGATACGTTGAAGGGAGAGAGATACGTTGAAGGGGGAGAGGGAGATACGTTGAAGGGGAAGGGGAGGGAGATACGTTGAAGGGGGGAGAGAGATACGTTGAAGGAAGGGGGGGGGAGATACGTTGAAGGAAGGGGGAGAGAGATACGTTGTAGGGGGGAGGGAGATACGTTGAAGGGGGGAGGGAGATACGTTGAAGGGGGAGAGGGAGATACGTTGAAGGAAGGGGGAGGGAGATACGTTGAAGGAAGGGGGAGATATACGTTGAAGGGGAAGGGGAGGGAGATACGTTGAAGGAGCGAGAGCAGGAACAGGAAGAAGTAGCGGTAGTTTCGGCGGCCAATGCAGTTGTTGACCCATGGGCAATGGTGGTCAAAGTCCTGGCGGAGATACGGGGAGAGGGGGGGGAGAGAGATACGTTGAAGGGGGGAGGGAGATACGTTGAAGGGGGGAGGGAGATACGTTGAAGGGGGGAGGGAGATACGTTGAAGGGGAGGGAGATACGTTGAAGGGGGGAGAGAGATACGTTGAAGGAAGGGGGAGGGAGATACGTTGAAGGGGGGAGAGAGATACGTTGAAGGGGGAGAGAGATACGTTGAAAGGGGAGGGAGATACGTTGAAGAGGGAGGGAGATACGTTGAAGGGGGAGGGAGATACGTTGAAGGGGGGGAGGGAGATACGTTGAAGGGGGGAGAGAGATACGTTGAAGGGGGGGGAGAGAGATATGTTGAAGGGGGGGAGAGAGATACGTTGAAGGAGGAGAGGGAGATACTTTGAAGGGGGAGAGAGATACGTTGAAGGGGAAGGGGGGAGATACGTTGAAGGGAGGGAGGGAGATACGTTGAAGGAGCGAGAGCAGGAACAGGAAGAAGTAGCGGTAGTTTCGGCGGCCAATGCAGTTGTTGACCCACGGGCAATGGTGGTCAAAGTCCTGGCAGGGAGAGGGGAGAGGGGAGAGGAGAGAGATACGTTGAAGGAAGGGGGAGAGAGATACGTTGAAGGGGGGAGGGAGATACGTTGAAGGGGGGAGGGAGATACGTTGAAGGGGGAGAGGGAGATACGTTGAAGGAAGGGGGAGGGAGATACGTTGAAGGAAGGGGGAGATATACGTTGAAGGGGAAGGGGAGGGAGATACGTTGAAGGAGCGAGAGCAGGAACAGGAAGAAGTAGCGGTAGTTTCGGCGGCCAATGCAGTTGTTGACCCATGGGCAATGGTGGTCAAAGTCCTGGCGGAGATACGGGGAGAGGGGAGGGAGATACGTTGAAGGGGGGGAGGGAGATACGTTGAAAGGGGAGAGAGATACGTTGAAAGGGGAGAGGGATACGTTGAAAGGGGAGAGAGATACATTGAAGGGGGGGAGGGAGATACATTGAAGGGGGGAGAGAGATACGTTGAAAGGGGAGAGATACGTTGAAGGGGGAGAGAGATACGTTGAAGGGGGGAGGGAGATACGTTGAAGGGGAGGGGGAGATACGTTGAAGGGGGAGGGAGATACGTTGAAGGGGGGAGGGAGATACGTTGAAGGGGGGGAGGGAGATACGTTGAAGGAAGGGGGAGGGAGATACGTTGAAGGAAGGGGGAGAGAGATACGTTGAAGGGGGAGAGGGAGATACGTTGAAGGGGGAGGGAGATACGTTGAAGGGGGGGGAGAGAGATACGTTGAAGGGAGAGAGATACGTTGAAGGGGGAGAGGGAGATACGTTGAAGGGGAAGGGGAGGGAGATACGTTGAAGGGGGGA